CTTTCTAGAACACCTTGGTCTTGAGCCCATCTTTATTTTTTTGATATATCATGTGTAACCATGTCATGTCTTTGTGCCAACAGGAACTTGAGGATCCTCTCATTATAATCCACGAGAAGAAAATCTCAAGTATAAATGCAGTAGTCAAAGTATTAGAGTTAGCTTTGAAGGTGAGCAATGTCATTTGCTTCATTTTTAATTGACTTTTGAAATACTGATATTGGCTGACACTTTCTTATCACCAGAGACAAAGACCTTTGTTGATTGTTGCGGAGGATGTGGAAAGTGATGCCCTTGCAACCCTTATTCTAAATAAGCTTCGTGCTGGAATTAAGGTTTGTTTTACCTGTTTATGGTTGTACTTTTTAGTTCTTAGGTACCTTAAACTCTGGATTCGTGGTTTTGCTTATTCAAAGGGGCATTTGTTGCCTTAGGTTTGTGCCATTAAAGCCCCTGGTTTTGGTGAAAATCGGAAAGCTGGTCTCCAGGATCTTGCTGTTCTTACAGGAGCTCAAGTAAGTTTTCTGTTAGCAATGAGGTTACTGCTATATTTAATCTTATCTTACAAACCTGTGAATGATACATTTTCTCTATCCTTTCAGCTTATCCAAGAAGAGCTTGGCTTGAATCTTGAAAAAGTGGATCTGGATATGCTTGGCTCTTGCAAAAAGGTAACCTTTTAATTTCTTATAGCATTTAAATGCACAATGGAGTTTTGGTACTCTTTCTTGGTTAATGTTCATGGTTCACAGTATCGGTAGAGGATGCAGACTTTCTTGGAGCAACTGCTTGTGTTTAAGCTCAAATTAAATTTTAATTAGAATGTCACCTTTTGCAGCCTAATAACATATTAAGGTTAAATGATTTAGACAACTAACTAAGGCTATTAATGTTTTAGATAACAATTTCTAAAGATGACACTGTCATTCTTGATGGAGCTGGTGATAAGAAAGCAATTGAGGAAAGATGTGACCAGGTTTGTTAATCTCCTATTAGATTTCATTCTACCATTGTTGCTGTATTCTGTTTTCGTGTAGTGATGGGTCAGATTATGTATTGATGTTTCTGACTTGTTTCTGGTGATGAATTATGACAGATTAGGTCAGCAATTGAAAATAGCACTTCAGATTATGACAAGGAAAAGTTACAGGAAAGATTAGCCAAGCTTTCTGGGGGTGTTGCAGTGCTTAAGGTATGCATGCTTATTTAAGTTGACCTTGCTTGCTAATGGTTTTTAACCTGGTGAACCCAAGATTCTGTAATGATAAAATTAACATCTGAAACTTTTGTTCTGCAGATTGGAGGAGCCAGTGAGGCTGAAGTAAGTGAGAAGAAGGATAGAGTGACGGATGCCTTGAATGCAACGAAGGCAGCCGTAGAGGAGGGCATAGTACCAGGTAAATTATTAGCATTGGCAGTTGTATGTTAAGTTCTACATCCTCCAATCAGATCTGAAATATTATGTTTTGCACAGGTGGTGGTGTTGCCCTTCTTTATGCATCAAATGAGTTGGATAAGCTTCAAACTGCCAACTTTGATCAAAAGATAGGCGTCCAGATTATCCAAAATGCTTTAAAGGTTCATGTTTTATGTACTTTTGCTGATTTTCTGTTGATCATCCTTTGCATTTTGTTTATGGCAGGGTACCACTTGATATCTCATGTTAGGAAAACTTGCCATAGTTTACTTTCAGGAGTCATCCTGCAACATTTTACGATGCCTTTGCCTTTAAGATATAGTATGCTTTCACTTAAATTTCAATTTTAGTTGCTCACTGTATTTACTACCTGCTTTAACAAACAATGCAGACATCTGTGCACACAATTGCATCAAATGCGGGAGTTGAGGGTGCTGTTGTTGTTGGTAAACTATTGGAACAGAACGATCCTGATCTAGGGTATGATGCAGCCAAAGGTCAGATTCCTTGTTTTCTTTTTCCTGGTTTTGTTTATTTTTGTCAAAAAGATAAGGCTCCTTCATTATTACCGATTCTGTTGTCAACCTTTTTCCTGTTTCGTAATTAGGTGAATATGTTCATATGGTTAAAGCTGGAATCATTGATCCATTGAAGGTGATTAGGACCGCCTTGGTTGATGCAGCCAGGTAGGATGTTTTAAGAAATTTTCCATAGATATAGATTATGTTGTATGTTTTATTTAGCTTTGCTTATCACCATTTTTCTGCAGTGTGTCATCTTTGATGACAACAACTGAAGCTATTGTGTCTGAACTCCCAAAGGATGATAAAGATGTTCCTGCTATGGGTGGTGGAATGGGTGGCGTGGATTATTAGGGCTGTTTTCCCTGTTGAATCTGGCTTCCTTTGAGTGGACGTGGAAGAGAGTGGTTCTTCACCATTATTGTTGCCTTTATTTTTCTTATTTCTTGTCTGAAGGCATCCATGTAATCATAGTGAGAAATCAAAGATGTAGGTAGGAAAATTTGTGATTGCTATTGCAAGCATATTTAAGACATTTGGAACAATTTTTGCCTTCCATATTAACAAGACATTGTTCCCCTCATAAATTGTCAATTGAAAGATGGCCTCATTAATTTCAACGGATTGAAGTTAGGCCATTTACATGGGGGTGTTTAACTTATGATTTTAACATTGTTTACTTATGAGCGTTCTTAAAATTTTCCAACTTTGATTCTTACGACTAGGGTGTAAATAGCCTAGTCTAAATTAGGCTTTGACTTAAATAGATTAAATTTGTGTTAAAAAAATTAGGTTTGGCCTTAGTCTATTAGTTTTGTGTAGGTTTAAATTACAAATCTAGTTTAACTTATATTTAAAAAATAAAAGCTTTGTTATTAAAAATAAAAATAAAAATAAAAGTTTTGGTATAAGTCTATTAAACATTCTATTATTAAAAAAAATTGAAATAATATTATTTTATTATTTGAAATTATTAAAATAATAATTTTATTTAAAATAAAGAATATAATATAGGTTGGCTTGTAGACTTATAATTCTGACTTATTTTTTAAATAGGTTTTTTTAGAATCTTAAGTCTGTTTTATTTGAATATTTATAATAGGTCAAGATTGGCCTAATATAGGTTAGGATGTAGGTTTCTGTAGGTTGGCTTAGTTTATATATACCCCAACTTATGAGGGTTATTATATGCATTAGAGCTGTCAAAATGAGTTCGTCCGTCCCATTAAGTCCTAATCCGCATGGGTTAGGGTCAAAAAACTCGCATTTCAAATGAATCTCAATAATAAAAGCTCATATGGGCCAAAAGTCATGAGTTAAGGTCTGCTAGCGGGTCATCTAAAATTATAATTTCATAATTTTTTTTCATCATATTCAATACATTAAAAAATAATTTAACAAAAAATATTTAAGACTTTTATTAACATTTTATACAAATTATAAATTTTTTATAATTTAATTTTGTTAATAAAATAATATTTGTACACAAATCTACAAATGAAAATGTAAACAAAATTTTAATATAATAGAAAATTTAGTTACTACTTTTACTAAATTCATTATTGAAGGATGCCATTAAATAAATATTTTCTCACTATGAGTCATAACAAAATACAACAACTCTACCCAATGGGTGCAGCTCAATTGGTAATTTGGCGCTGAGTTAGTGGGGTTGGACATGTGTTCGATTCCTGCTGAATGCATTCTTGGGGAGGGGGCTGAACTTTTAGCCATCACTGCTCCCCGCACTCCGGATTAGTCCCATAGCCGGCTCAAAGAGTCGAAGCTCGTGGGGATACCGGAGGGAGTCAACTCGCCTCAAAGAGGTAATTAGGGTTGGGTAACTCCAAAAAAATACAACAACTCTACTGGAAAATTAAAAGTAACGATTGAAAAAATGATCTTAATACATTTGATGTATTCTATAACCATCATACTAATGATGTGTTGAATTGTAAAATACATTTAATGAGGAGTATTGTAAAATATTATGGATGACCTTTTACATGGTTCATAAAATGTGACTTTTTTATTTTTCATGACTTTTGATGTATCCTACAACTATCACACTAATGATATGTTGAATTGTAATTATTTTCCTAATTATGTTTAGAGTCCTATATTTCCTTACACTTCATTTTTCTCTTTTTTATATTTCACTTTCTCTTATATTCTCTATCAAATTCACAATAATTTTTACTTATATTATGTTTATAATTTATTTTATATTTATAAATATTTAAATTTATATAATTTTTAAATTTTTAAATAATAAAATTTTGATAAAAAAAAAAATTAGCCTGCGGATTAGCCTGAACCTAGCCCGCTAAATTGTATGAAAAATAAGTCCTAACACAAAAAGGCCTTAATGATTAGAGTCAATATAGATCTTTGCGAGCTGGCCCGCAACTTCAGCCCATTTTGACATCTCTAAGTTACGCATAACTTTTTAAGTTAAGATTATTTGTAATGTCAAGCATGGGTAAAGTTTTTTAAAAATGAATTTATCTTTAAAGTAAATTCAAAATGAATTTTATCTTTGATTTAATTTGAAGTATTTTATAACTTTTAACATATTAAAATTTAAAAGTAGATAATTTTTAGTTATAAGAAAGGTTTTTTCATCAGGTAACCTTGTTTAAGAACTTGATAAATAGCATAATTAGACATTCTTGAATAGTCAAATACATTTAAAGTTCTATAAATCTCTTTGATTTAATGAACAAAAATTAATAGTCAATCAAAATACAAATAGATTCATATTACATGAGCAGCTGTTTATATACCCAGCAGTATAACAAAAATATCTCTTCAAAACAACACACGAAGCACCTTACTTTGTTAATAAAGAGTCGAATAGGATAAAAAGAAAAGAAAAAAGAAAAGAGAGAGAGTCGAATATACAATTAGCCACAATTTCAAAAAGAATGATGCGATTTTACAAACAGGAAGTAGTTGTTTGAAAACCTAGTGTGATGGGAGAGTCGATGCATGATGTTACTGGCTATTACTCCCAGTGTTTACTTCTTTGTAAGTTGTTTTGGAGACTCAGGCCCCTACAAGTACAAAAAAGATAATAACAAGACAAAACAGGAATTTTCCATATAGAAAAATTTATACAAGAAGGATTTTATGAAGTATACTGATTTTTTCTTTCTAATTTACACGGTTCACCCAAATTTAAAGGAGTTTGTGCTTGTCTTCCTTGGATTCCTTCTCACTGTCACTGGCTCAAAGTCAGGGCTCCCGAATTCCTTGGTTTGCGTTTGGAAAAAAGTACAAGATGATCTTCGTATCCCCGTCCACAGTCAGATTGCAAGATTTATGCAGATCACCTTAAAAGGTTTTGCGTCTTTTCTCATTGCTTCAATCCAAGTTCTGATTCATTGACCCCATTAAGCAGCCATCGAATGAATCAAAATAAAACACACCAATCACAGAATCATATGTCAGTCTTACTTTATATATAAAGCACTTGGAGATTTGAATTGGTGAAGAATGGATGCAACTGCCATGCTGTCAACCTGGTCCCATTCTCATATTAAGCCAGCAAGGCCTTTGAAGACAAGTTTGCAGAGGATATATCTAATTCTTTATTCGTAGCCATCAACTTCAAGAACACTTGAGAGTGCTGACATCCATGCCTGCAAACCTTGGGAAGCATCCTTTTTCATCAACACTTCCAATTTGCCAAGAGCCCGCCTTGATACTCCATATCTGAGAAAAAGATTTCCAAGTGATCTAAAAGTGCAATCATCAAGTTGAACGGAAGCTCTTACCATTTCCTTGAAAGTCTCTACTGCTTCCTTGCGTCTCCCAGTAATAGCATACAGATCAAGCACATTATTACAACTTAACGTATCTGTCAAGAATCCCAATTTTTTCATCTGCTTTGCAATTTGAATGCCTTCATCAAACCTCTCAAATTTCTTATACAAACATAGCATCATTGCAAATGTAAACTCGTTTGCACCTCCATTTTTTTTTAAGGTCTCGAATATCTCTTTTGCTTGATCAACCATAGATTGCTTTGTATAAAGTTCAATCATACAATTAGAAGAATATGTAGCAGGACCTTCTTCTGATGATTGAAGCAACTTGTATGTTTCTTGTGCTTCTTTCAGGCAGCCAGCCTTTGCATACAACTTGATCAAAGAATTGTATATAACTGTATTCCCTGGCAAGCCAGCTCTTTTCATTTCATCAACATAATTGATGGCTTCTTTAAACCTTCCAACATCACAAAAAGCATTGATCAAAACCCCATAAACTATAATATCAGGTTGCACGCCATGTCCAATCATTTCCCTGTACATATCTTCTGCCAAATCCAATTGGCCTAATTTTGCAAAGCTGGAAATCACGGCACAATATGGGATGCAATTACTCACTAATCCTGCCCCCTGCATTTTTCTCAGATATGGTTTGGCAATATGTGGCTGGTCAGCACTGGCCAAAATTTGTATGAGAGAACTATAGCTGCATCTATCTGCAATTACACCATGTTTCTCCATACTATCAAATAATTTACATGCTTTATCATAGCATTTCCCAACGCCATAAGCTTTAATCATCACATTGAACTCAAGGACACTGAGATTCTTCCTTTCTTGGCACCAAATGAAGACTTTTTCAGCTTCCAAAGTATGCCCATGCTCCCCATATGCGTCAATGTTGGCAGCATAGCACTCAGATGTCATATTGCCAGCTATATGAAACCTCTGAATCCATAACAAGGACCGTTCAAGCATTCTTGCTTCTATGTACATCCTAGTCAAAGCAGACTGGGTGAATTGATCAATTTCAAGGCCCCTCTCATCCATCTCTGATACAAGCTCTTCTGCTTCATGAACCATTTTCCTTATGGAGTACGCATACAAGAGAGTGCGGTAACTCACAAGATTTGGGTCGAGGCAAGCCTTCTTCATTATTTGAAAATATTTTGTTGCCATGTCTATGTCATTATTCGTGGTATGGAGAGATATGAGAATATTATATGTCCTAGTATTAGGTGAGCATTGAAGCTCTTCCATTTTATGCAGAAGTGAACTTACTTCCTCTAATTGCCCATGGTTTCCGCAAATGTGAATCATTGTATTGAATGTCACTGTGGTTGGAGATATGCCTCGTTTAAGCATCTTAACAAAAGTTTCAGATGCTTCTTTCAGTTGGCCAGCCTTTCCATATGTGTCAATCAAGGTGTTATATGTATGTGAGCTGAAAGAAGCATTAGTATAAGACACCCTCTTGTCCAATTCTGGAGTAGCCACCGTAATATTATTGTTTGTCCTCAAAGGTTTACCTGATGACCACTTTCTGAAAAACTCCTCAGCTTTCTGAAATTCTCCTGCCTTTTTGTACAGCTGAACTACAATCACCATAGTGACCTCATCAGGCTCCATCCCTTGTTCTAACATCCTTTCAAGCCAAGAAAGCGCGTCTTCTTTAAGCCCACCTTTGCTATAAACATCAATCAAAGTTCCATAAGTAGAATTCGTTGCAGCAATCCCTCTGGCATTCATCTCATCCCACAAACTCTCCACGTGGGTCCATTTACGCGCTTTACCAAGGGTCCTGAGCATAATGTTATAGTGAATCACATTCAATTCATGACAATTCCTTTTGAACCACTCAAAAATTTCCAAAGCTCTATCCCACCTCAGCTGCTCCTTCAAAATGATACTTCTTTCCTTGTTGTTAATCATCTCTTCCCACGGTGTCAGAGCCTCCTCCACGTCCTGAATCATGTCCAAAGCGTTCAGAATGGAAGGAATGCGTCCACCATAAGACGCCCATTTCGTCGAACACTTGGTGTGCATCCTCTCCGGCCCACCAATTTTGCTCTTTCTTAGAACCCCATCACCTGAATTGTTCTCTAGACTCTGTTTCTTCAACTGGGTCTCTTGCTTCACGCGACCTCCACTTCCATGTCCACGCTGAATAATGCTGGCTCCATTGTTACGTTGTTGTCTCTGTTCTCTACTTCGGTGGGTAACTTGTTCGGTTTTCTCTGATAGAGAAACTGTGTTTCCGAATACAGGTGTGTAGGTGCACAAGACTTGCAGCTTCACAAACATTTGTACGAACAAAAACAAGGACACTTCACACTTGGTTCAGCCTCATGAGATACCAGAGGGTGTGTTTGTTTATTTGTGCTTGATGGAGTGTGTGGAGCGAAAATATTCGAGAATTCAAGCGCGTACCGTTTAAGTGCACGTTTGTTTTAAAGTTTTTGTTTTTGGATGTTTTAGGTAACTTCGTTTTATTCTCCTTTTTATATATCGACATGGTACATGAGATACAACTGGTACGATACTTTGACACATTAATTTTAAAAATGTTAAATTTTGACATGTTAGGATACGTTTTGATATTATATAATAATTTTAATTTATGTAGTGTATATTATATTTAGTATTTAATAATTTAACAAAAAATAAAGTTAAACTTATAATACCCATCAATTTTGCAAAGAAACATAATATATCCCAAATATTTATATTAAACTCAATAAAATCGTAATCGTAATCTAACGAATCTAATAGTTGAAACTCAAAATGCAACGCAACGTAATCTTTGAATCTTTTTTGAGTTTTTGCAATGAGTATTGGAGTGTCGAAGTGTCGGTGAGTGTCCGACACGTTAAAATTTTTGAAGTGTCGTATTTCATAGGCGAATTGGATTCCATTCAGAAAATTTCCAGTGGTGGAGAAATGTGAAATTTTTCCTTTCACTTTATTTTTTTTTATTATATATTTTTTATCTATCTTCCAAAATTTTCAAAGAGATCACTTAATTATTGGTGATATTGTACCATTGAAAATTTTCTCATTTTCTTCAATCATATTTAATTTTGCTTAATTCGAATCAGCTTGGAAGGAATATATTTTTAATTTTTCTTAAATTATTTAATATATATTTACAATGCTATTAAAATATAGATTTAGTTTTATCGAAAAATAATAAATATAAATTCAAATTAATTTATCGAAATATGCTAAATACGAGTCAAACTAAATTTATTAAAAATTAAATTTTAATAATAGATATAAACTGAAATAGTTTCTTAATTTGATAATATATCTCGAGATAGTTTGATTTAATTCAAGATATAATAAAAAAATTATTAAATAAAAATGAAAATAACTTATGTAAAATATTATTTTAAAATTATTTATAAGATCTAAATTCGATTTTAAGTTGTTAAATTTTAATTTAAAAACTGATGTAATATAATTTTTCACTTTTTTGTTTGATTTTAATTTAAATAAAATTGGTTCAATATTAAATAATAGAATAAATCAAATTGATTCTTTTAATAATTATTTTAAAACTAAATTAATTAAAGTAATAATTAATATATAGGGACTTCAGATTATTACTTTTGTATTCTATTTATCTAAATTATTTAATAAATTTTGCACTAAAAAAGTGTTTAATAAATAATGAATAAACCCATATTTTAATATTTAGAAGATTTATGAAACATAAATCTAGTTCCAAAAGAATTGTGTTTTTATCAAAGTTATATAATTATAAAAGTTACTAGTTTTGCAATCAAATTGGTATGGCATGATCAGCATAAAAACATCACTTGAGGATTAAAATTTGACGGGATTATGTAATAATAAAATTTGATGTATGTGGAGTAATTACCACACCTCGAGAGAGATAAAAAGTATTTTTTACCGTATAAAAATATCTTTCACTCTCTATAAATATATAACAATACAAATAGGATAAGATCTGTTTATAAATTACACTATCTTTTTTCGGGATAACATAGTGAAACTAGTATTCGCTTGAAAGAAGATAGTGTAGTTTGTAAGAGTTTCTAAATAAAAATTTTTACAAATATAACCTGTCCATACAAATATGTGCAAGATGTAGGTAATATAGGATGTCAACACAACGCAATTGGAGTCTTTTTCATCATTCTATTTTAATTCTTTTTCCTCTCCATTATTTACTTCTAAACAATAACGGTACGAGAAAATATGGACTCCAAATTTCATGTCACTTTTATACTTTTTGTAACTGTCAAATGTCATTATTCTTATACATACAACCAAATTATTATAGTTTTTTTGGTCATTGATTTTCTTTGATATTCTCATATGATCTTTTGCTAAGAATATTACAAGTTGCATAATGTGTAATCATCAAGTCATTAACAATATGTGATATTAAACACGAGATCCGTTATTTGTTTAGCCATAAACTTATTTTTCATTCTCTTTTCACAGAGACTATACTCCAATCTTGTATCATATTAGACTTGAGAATTTCCTATATATATATTTTAAAATTCAAAATTAAAATAAAACTATTTTTTGTAAAGGCCCAAAATTATATAGTTTTTAAAAGATTTATTCATCACTTAATTAAAACATGTATATTGAAATTGCATGAGAGGGCGGGGATGGATGCCCTCCCTAACCCTTATGCGGCATTTGATACAAGGTATTTTGTAGGATTTCTAAGAAACTGAATTTTTTTAAATTTTTAATTTTCGGATATTATCGTAAACTGAATGTTTTCATTATATTTTTGAAAATCGATATTTTCGGATAAAAAAAAAAATTTCTCCTCTAACAAACGCCTCCTTATATATATTGCTGGCCATATATACTCATGCTTAAAAAACATTACATTAAAGATGTGCATAATAATTAATGTTTTCAAAAAATATATATATTTTTATAGCAAATCAGGGTTATCACTTGTCATGTCTAAAAGACGAAGACGTGTTTTGAAGTGTTTGGGCTGTGGCAACATAGACAGCACCCCCATGTGCCCCATGCCTGCATGCACCAAATCCAGCATCCAAAACTTTATATCATACATTTATGAGAACAAGCAAGGGTGCATGAGGCCCCCAATGTATATTTTTCATCAAATTTAACTCAATAACCTTCCCCCCACCCAATTTTTTTTTTTTTTTTTTTTTCATGTATCAAAAAAGGTTAATTCAATTAGCAAGATCCTAAAGACTTATAATAATAATTCTTCATTGTTAAACCATATACCATTATTTTTGCAGATCCTCACGTTAAAATGATCATTAATTTATCCTCTTCTAAAAATTTACTCACCAGAAAAATTATGTAATTTTTCATTCTATATACTTAAATAATAAAGATATTGCATATCTAAACCACAAAAAAAGACGCCTGAAATATATTCTAAGGGATTTATTTTTGCAGAGTTTTGGAGTCATTAATATAACACTTTTAGTGTCTATTATCTCCGTTGCACGGACACACAAAATTTTGTAAAATTTGCGTGTCGGATACGTGTCCGACACGGACACGTTCCGACACGCTCGGACACGCGTCCGACACGCGGTCAACATTGGGGGACATGCGGTTAACTTTTCGACACGTTCCGACACGTGGTCAATATTTAGGGACATGCAGTCAACATTTGGGGACACGTTCAGACACCTTTTTTTTTGTTTTTTTTTTGTTTTTTTTTTTTTTAAATCTTAATTTTATTTTGTTAACTAAATATAAAAGAAATAATTTATAAATTAATTTTTTTCTATTATGAAATTTGACATTAAAAATTAATAAAGTACAAAAAATTATTTATATTTATATTTATGTTATGAAATTTAAATATTTGATTGGTTATATGACTTATTATGGATTCTTATATGTATTAAATATAAATCATATTATATATATTAAAATTTTTATTTAATATCTAAACGTGTCCCAACGTGTCCAAATATGATATTTTTTATAATTAACGTGTCGGCGTGTCGTGTCGTATCCCGTGTCCCGTGTCCGTGCATCATAGTCTATTATAAACACCATTCAATATTAAGTTGCAAATCTCTTATCTATTTTATCTTTTAATTATATCTTTAATAATTGTGCCCTAGAAAAATTTATTTATAAATTTTATTTAAAATTTTCGTTAACTTTTATGAGACAAACAAACTGTTTTTTTATCGCACGTACTAAACTAGTTGCATATTATATTTTCAATCCATTTTCTTTCTTATAGATACTCTATTTTATCCATTAACATTTCAACTCCAAATTATAATATCATTAATTATAGGTTTTAATGTTTCTACGGTGAATGTAGATAAATTATTCACATTCGCTTCCAAAAAGACGTAGTTTTGAATTAAAAGATTATAATAAAAAATTATTATAACCATGAAATAAATTATAATTACAAAAATATCTTGATTTCCGTCTCAAAACGACGTCGTTTTGGATTTAATGTAAAAAAATTATATTAAATAAAAAAACTCTATTCACTTTCATATATTTATCTATTTGCATTTCATTTATGTGTACTTGATGTTCTATCAGTTATTTTTTTTGAGAAATATTACTCACTTTCATATGAGATATCATCTCTCATTTTCTCTCACTTCGATTTTCGTACTCCACTTTTTTTTTTCTTTTTCTTATAATGGTGTGACCCACCTATTTTCTCTGTACAACATGTTAAATGAGACTAATAATTTTTTTTTTCTTTAACATGTCAAGAAAAGAATGGGTTTACTTATGTCATTGCAACCATAAGTTATTTTATAATAATTTAAAAGAGAGTATAAAAAAATAATATTTTTATTTATACATATTTATGTTAGGAATTAATTATTTAACATGCTCCTAAATTTTGATGTCTAAAGTTCGGCCCTCGGGAGTGGTAATGGTAATATTATGTTTATGAAAAAATCATAATAGATAAATGAATGATGAAGAAAGAGGGAAAAGTAAATATATAAAAATAAATAATTATAAGATTATTACTGGTGATTCATTTTTTTATATAATCATGTTAAATAACAAACGAAAGAAAGTTGCTCTATTCGCTACTACTCCAGTCTCCCTCGCTCTCTTTTTCGTAACCTATGGTAATTCTGTTTAATTTACATGTCCTTGTATTTGAATATTTGTATTTGGATTATTCACATATAATCCATCCTGTTCAGTGCGTTAATATATATTCCCGAAGCAAGCTGCGACGTTCTCCTTTCTCCTCTTTACATCGACGGAATCAGGCGGCGCCACCCGATGCCGCCGCCTCTGGCGATATCCGAGAACTTAAGAAATGTTTGATCCTCATCCTCAAGCTGATAATCCCTAACACGTGTAGAATGAATGCTCCCTCGTGAAAGCGATGATTCTGATTTGGAATTTATTTTTTTTTAATTTGTTATTTCAGATTAATCCGTGAACTGTTTGCGGAGTTGGAATTGTTCGGTGATTGTGGTTTAGGATGTCGTCGGGGCTAGTAGTTAAGCGTGCCAAATACAAAGCTACTGTCAAAGACCCTGGCACTTCTGGCGTTCTCAAATTGGTACGCAACGACATTGTCGTTTTTTGTTTATCCTTGTGGATCAGCCACTTGAAAATATGAAAATGTTGTTTCCTCTATGCAGACTCAGGACAAGCTTGTTTTCAGACCTAATGATCCTACATCAAACAACAAGCTCGAAGTGGACTTAAAACTTATAAAGAGTACTTATGATCTGTCTTTTTTTTTTTTTTTTTTTTTTCAGATTAATAAAGAGTACTTATTATCTTTTTAATACCATATATGTATAGTTTGATGTGGCTTTTTTTTTTTTTTTTTGTTCTGCTTGCAAAATTTAGGTCATAAACACACTAAAGAGGGATCAAACAAACCACCATGGCTTAATCTTGGACATTCACAGGTTTTTCTTTTGTTTATTTTAACTCTTTGCTACTCATGTCTACATTTGTTGTGTTATTTATGTAGCCTGTGTTGTGTTGGTTCTGTTTTATTTTTATTTTTATTTTTATTGTTATTATTATATTTGAACTATTGGGGTACTGTGGTTCTCTTAGTAGTACAGTACTTAACATGCTTAATGTCTCTTCCTTTTGAAATGAACTTTTATGATATTATAATGTGATGTTATGCTCCAGGGAAGTTACATCTTTGAGTTAGAAAGTTTTCCAGATCTTCATTGTTGCCGGGAATTGGTGGGTAAGTTTCTTACTTTGCTTACTGCCGAAAGAAATATGATTTTGTTGTTTCTTTTTCTTAAATTTTTCTTCTAAGGGCTTCTTTAACTTATTTCTTATTAATCTTGAATTGTGGCATACTGGCGCTTAGCTTGAGGTGCTGCTACATTGTTCACTTGTCATCAGGGGTAGAGTTTCTGTTGATAGGTTTTTAATTGGTTAAGCTTTTTTGAATTATGAAAGTGTTATGATAATATGATTGCAGATAGGCTTCATCATATATATTTAGTTCCCTCATCAAAACACATGCCAAAGAAAAAAGTGATGCATCACCAAATAATTTATTTTCTAAAGAATTTTGATGTGTTATCCTCTTTTTTTTCTCAATTTCTCTAATGCAATTATACTTGGGAATTAAAAAGACAATGGTATAAAGTTTACATAAAAAGGAGATTCTGAGCTATCATGATTTTTCTTCTGTTCCCTTTCTTTATTCCATTTTTAATATTTTTATTTTCAATTGTTTCATATATGTTTTTCTTATTTGTTGTTGGATCTCTCTTTGAGCAGGTGTTGCTCTTAGCAAGCATGAAGAAGCTACAAAAGTTATTTCCGAAGAACAGCTGAGCCCTGCTGAAATGGCACTCAGGATTAAGCTATTGCAAGAAGATAGGTATTTGGTTTTAGTAATGCACTTAAATTATTTTAAAAACAAGTATTGTTTATTAGCGAACTTGTTCTATTATGGTTCAGGCTCACTTTCTTGTTGCAAATGTAAGCTAAGACCAAATTTTCAAGACCATTTAAATCAAGGTCTCTCTCTCTTTTTTTTTTTTGGGGTAATTAATCAAGGTTTCTTTGGTATTGTCAGTTGTGCTGTTACTTCAAAGTTATCCATTTATAGTTGCTCTGGCTGAGTATGCCATGCGGTAGTAATTCACTCAGGATCTCATGTTATTCATATGATAGGATTTTGAATGTTATGTATTGTTTACTATCAGGTTTTCTTAGTTTCAGATATTCCTCGCTTCCCTCAATGTTATTGATTTTGCTGAAGTTCAACTTTTGCAGCAAGTTGCAGAAGCTTCATAAGGAACTTGTGTCTAGCGGTAAGCTTACAGAGTCAGAATTTTGGGCTACGAAGAAGGTAAAGATATTCCGAATATAATCTATTGTTCTTAGTAGTTTGTTCTGGGTTTGCAAAGGGCATTTGAATTTTAAACTCTTGTGAGGCCATTATATCAACATCAACATCAACAACACCTTTATCCCAAACTAATTGGGGTCGGTGGTAGATGAACCCAAAAAAAAGATACAAAAGGATTGAAAAAAGATAAAAAATAAAAAAAAATGTGAGGCCATTATATGTTTACTAATAATAGGTTTTTGGTTGATATTATGATGATTGAAAGAGTTTTTACTCATGAAGTGTCATGAGTATTATGAGATGCATTTTGGCGAATCAAATATTTGTGTAAATGGCATGGTCATTCTAAAGGGTTTCCCTTATAGATATGGAGAGGCATTGGGAAGCTTTGCTCTATTGGTGTTTTCTCTTTTTTTTTTTTTATTTGTATGGAGGATATCTTAGCCTCCTATTTCCTTGTAATTTTCACTTCTTCATCTTAATAAATTTCTTCTTTTATATGAAAAAAATTTATTTTACAGAATTTACTGGATCGAGATGAAAGCAGAAAGTCGAAACAACGAATTGGTTTCAAAAATTCTTTGATCTTCGATACAAAGCCTATGAGTGATGGTCGGGTATGCACTGCTTCTCCTTCCTTTTCTGCATTGGAGCTCTATCTGTATGATTGCACTTAGACGTGTCACAGCATACTTGAATGTCAACATGTGAACATTCTATATCTAATTGTCTGTATGTTGCAGCTAAGTTATTCCTCAAATGCCAAATTGAAGATTGTTAAGAAAAAATATCTTATTCTTCTCTCTTATAGAGTGCAGAACTCAGCTTTTTGAAGCTTTTAAATGCTTAACAATACTATGACAAATGGGCATTGAACCTGATGAATATGGTTAGTTTATTTTGTAATACAGTTCACAAAACAACTTTCAGAAACAAAGTAGCTAAAAATTGTATTTGGGTAATTTATTATAAAAACATGTTTTAAAACTAATTATATAAGCTGCTTCGAGAGAAAAGAACATGGTACCTCGGTTTTTATGAGCAAAACCCCTATCATGGCTGTTACCCTCAATTATTGCTGCACTACAAAGAAGTTGGCAGAATTATTCAAGAAAAAAACTTAGTTTGTTCTTCTTTGAATGAGATTAAAGTCTTTTGAGTTTTTCAAGAATCCCGGTTTGTTATGTTCTTTTAATGGGATGGGATTAAAGTCATTCTCATCATTAATGGCGAGGCCTTCTGTGTCTAATACTAATTGCCAAATGCCAAGTTTTAAACTTTTCCCTTGAGTGATTGGAGGAACAATTGAGTTGGAGAGAATACGTGTGTGATTTGGGCAAATCAAGCAATCCCAAACTACAATCTCCCCAATACTGTTTATTATGTGCGTTGCCTTATATTAAAAGATTAGTGACTCTTTGAATTTTATGCGACAAGAACAAAGCAGACGTGTACTGCTGCTATTGGTGGAAATGTAAATCACTAAAAGCAGCTTCACTGAATGCTGTTGACGGGCAACATTTTGACTTGCATGAAATGAAGCAGAGAGTGGGTCTAGATTGTTTGATTTATTTACAAAATTTCCATTAATAAACTTTTATAATTATGGACTTGCCTCCTTAAAAGGAAATTCTTTTCAAAACAAAAGGTGAAGAAACTTGTAAATGTTGTTCTTATTTTACATTTTTTAAATCCCCAATTCTGTTTTCTTGATTCTGAAAACTGGGAACAGAAAATGTTTACATTTTTTTTCTCTCTCTTTTTTTCTTGTTGCCTTTTAAGAGTGCAAAATTGTTTTTAAATGGCCCTGTATTTTTTGTTTTGTTTTGTTTTATGGGATCTTATATTTAATATTGGTTTTGATAGAGCTCAGTAGCATCGTATGATCCGTGTAGCCAACCCTACCTAGTGAGATAAAGCTCATTTATTGTTATTACATTGCTATGCAGAGTTCACGAATTTCTAAACCATGTTTAGGATCTTTTCGCAGTTTCTAGATTTTTTTGGGATTCAGATGCATGCTTATGTAATTTTAACTGCTTTATTTTCTCTTGTTTTGTTTTTCAGATTAACCAGGTTAAATTTCAATTGACACCAGAGATTAAATATCAGGCATGCTTCTACGTCTAACTCTGTCCTTTATTAGTCAATTAGATTTCAAGCTATATCTTGAATGAGTCAAAGCTGTCCTATGCTTCAAATGATGATACTAGAATTTAAGGTACAAGTTCGACTTTTTAAATGTGATATTGACTCTTTGGTGGGTGCTAGTTGGGTTTAATTTATGCTGTTGCGCACTGCACAGATATATAACAATTTTTTCGTTTTGGGTGGGGGGTGTATATGGAGGAAAAAATATTGGATGGTCCTTTGTTTCTTCCTCTTTCTCTCTTCTTTTCTCTTTCCTCTCTCCTCTCTCTTCTATTTCTCTCTCTTCCTGGCACGTGTGTGCCGGGATCACTAAATATTCGCTCGTATATGGAGAGCTGTTTAGAATAGAAGGTTATGCATGGGATTTTAACATGAAGACAACAATAATGTATTTAAATATTACATTAAGGTTACTTTTCATATACATAGTTGGTATATTATACAAGCATTTGCAGTACATGTTTTCGTTTTCTCATCTTTTTGTGTTTTCTTATGCGTCCATGGGATTGCACGTAGGTCATAATAGTAATATCAGATGGAGGCGAGATCAATAATAGTTTACTTTAAGAAAGGAGATGGTGACTTCATTATGTCTCTGGTATTGGGCTTCCATTTAGTGGGATGACCTTCTTGTTGTCAATGATTTGAGTAATAACTTTCAACTTCTTTAATATTCTTGAGGATCAATCAACAACGCCTTTATCCCAAATTAATTGATATTGGTGGTTGATAAACCCAAATGAAAAGATGAATGAAAGGAAGGGAAAATAAATAAATAAAAATTTCAAAATAATTTTTTTGAAATAAAACATGAAAAAAATAGAAAAAAATAAAGTGAAAATGAAGATAGATAAGAGAGAAAAGTGAATAATAGGAAAGAAAAGAAAAATAAAATAAATGGAAAAAATAAAAATAGATCAGTAAAAGGTAAGGTAAATTAGAGAGGAAAATAAATAAAGGGAAATATACGGAAAAAGGACTAGATAGGTACGATACTGGCTGGAACATAGGAAGTATAATTTAGCTTTCCTCCAATCCGTTGTAAGCACACCATTCGTTAATCTAATTCCCATTTCATTTAAGTCTTGTTTTACTATTTTACTCCAATTAAGTGTCAGCTGACCTCTTTGTCTCTTGTAACAAACTTTTGCTATCATGGGAGCATCTAGGGATTGTTGCATTATATGCTCAAACCATCTCAATCTATGTTGTTTTATATTTACAGCCATTAGTGCTAATCCTATCTTTCATCAAATATTTTCATTTTTTTTTCTTATCTATCATTGTATGATCATACATTCATCTTAACATTCTCATATTTGTTACTCCCATTTTATGCTCAAATTGCCCGTGAACGTTTAGCTCCGTATATCATTACAAGCCTTATTGTTGTTCTATAAATCTTTCCTTTTAGCCTCAGAGGATTTTGCAATCACACAAAAACCTTAATGCATTTTGCCATTTTATTCAACCTACTCTGATTCTATTGTTTACATCCTCATCAATCAATCCATTTTTTTACAAAATAGATCCCCAATGTCTATGAAATTGCATGGAATCTCGGCAATCTCTTGTTAGAGTGAACTCACGCTTCATATACTCAGTTTTACTTCGACCTAGCATAAATCCTTTAGATTTCAACTTGCTTCTCCACAATTCTAGTTTTTTATTAACACCAGATTTGGTCATATCAATAAGCATAATATCACCTGCAAATAGCATACACTATGACACTTTGTCTTGGATATCTTTTGTTATTTCATCCATAACTAGAGTAAAAAGAAAAAGACTTAAAGCAAAACCTTGGTGTGCACTTGCTGTGATTGGAAAATAACTTGATGTTCCATTAAAAGCCTTCATACATGTAGTAACGCCATCATACATATCCTTGGTTACCTTTACATTCTTTGATGACACTTTTTTCCTCTCAAGAACCCACCATAGAACCCTATCATATGCCTTTTTCTTTTCTTGATATTTTTCCATAAATTGTTGTATGAGGAAAATAGCCTCCATGATACATAAATCCGAATTGATTTACAGAGACCTTGGTCTCTATTCTCAAGTGATGTTCAATATCTCTCTCTGAGAACTTAATAGTATTGGCTTATAAGCTGATGCCTATATAGTTAAAACAATTATGAATATCTCCCTTGTTTTTGTAAATAGGCATAAGCATGCTCTTCCTCCATATTGATCCTCCATATATTTTTGAGGATCAATATGATTATTAATATTTAAGCAATGACATTTTAGCATTCGGAACTCCTTTTATTTGAGATTTTACTTGTTTAAGTCTTACATCTTATGTAAAGATCTTTTTAGGGTCTTTAAGTTGGGTAATTTATTGAGTAAGAATGTTAAGATGATTTTTCGACCAAAGAGCTACAGTATGAAGAACAAGGTCGGAAAGGAACTTTCAAGATTAGTCACCACAGTAAGTTATATCTTCAAAAGGTTTTTATTGAAGTTTTGAAGTTGGCAGCTGTTTTGGAGGTTAAGGAAGGGTTGTTTTGAGCTTACTTTTACTTTAGAATTCAAACTCTTCCTTTTTAAGTTTTAATGAGAAAGTTTTCTAGTTAATGTTTGGGGTAGTTGTGGTGGTTCCCTTTTCAGTTTTGTCTTATGGGTTGGGACTATTTTGGGGTTTCTCATGGATTTTTCTTTTCCTTTTGGATTATTTTTTTAGAATATCTTGAAATATCTAAGAAGAGCTTTTGAATATATTATAGGATCAATTAGTCTGCTAATGGAGGACGCACCCTTATGATAATTTCATTATGTTTCCTTGTTTAATTGAGGTTAGAAGTCTTATTGTATTGGTGGGCTTGTGCTTGTGCTTGTTCTAGTAGTACTACACTAGTACATGACCTAATTCTTAGTATAAATTGGTGTTAGTGCTTTGTATTTTATATGACATCAAATCAATCTAGCTTATTTTCTCTCTTTTCCTCTTTCCCTCTCTCAACCTATCCTCTCGTACTTTCCCTCCTCTTGAATATTATATATTCTTCTATTAAAAAATAATCATTTTCGGGATCTTGGCTGACATTGTGGTTGGCCACTAACTTTGGAGCAATTTCTCTTGATACTTTTTGATTTTTTTGGAAAGAATATGGAGGCTTAGATTTTATGGCAGTACGCAGTATATGCAGTGCTTTAGTGCATTTGGTATTACTTGGAGTGAAATGTCTGTATTTCTGGATAGGATTCTGTGCATCGCCTCTCATTTGCTCAGTTCATGGTTGCTTCAAAGGATCTTCCATCACCAATATGCAAAGGGATTTGATAGCTTTATTAAATGTTTCAGCCAGTTTGGTTAATTGATTTGTGTCTGTTTTATTTGGGAGGGTCCTTATCCTTTACTTGTATTTCTTTCATTTTTTTCCTATGTAATTTCTTCTTTCAATTAAAAAAATAAAATTGACATTTGGACTTCCCTATTTCCTTACTTTCTTTGCATTATTGTTTTTCCAGATTTTTGCCCTCAAACCAGCTGTTCACCAAGCATTCCTCAATTTTGTTCCTAGTAAGGTATGTTGGACATTAATAAAATGTTTATTATTTCCTTGATAATTATTTGTGAAATAATCTACTCTTAGCATACTAATTTATTTATTTTTTTTCCATGGTCTAAAAATTCAAGATGAACGAGGTAGATTTCTGGAACAAATATTTTAAAGCTGAGTATATCCATAGTACCAAAAATGCTATTGCGGCAGCTGCTGAGGCTGCTGAAGATGAGGATCTTGCTGTTTTTCTGAAAGATGATGAGATATTAGAAAGTGAAGCCCGAAAGAAGGTCTTTCTCTTGTCTTTTATTCTTGTTGAGGATCTTTTGGTTGAATTCTGGATTCCATTTATATTATCTCAGAATGCCTTCCTTTTTGTATGTATATTTGCAGGTTCGGCGGGTTGATCCAACTTTAGATATGGAAGCAGACCAAGGAGACGATTACACTCACCTTCCTGTACGGTGAATGAAATTATTACTCAGTCTCATATAGGAGGTTCTCTTATATCATGTTTTTCTTGTTTTTATGCAAAATTTGCCCTTCTTAAAGTAAAAATTTCAGTTGCAACTTATTATCATACTTTGCTTAAAATAGTGCTAGCATCTCTTATTACATTTTGCTAACAATATTGGTAAGAGGATAATTGGCAGTCAACTCTGGTGGCATGTTTATAGTTATGTAAATTATTTTATTTCATTTCAATGAATCAAACCCATATTTTACATTTCCTTTCCTTAAAGTTTCTAAAACTAAGGATAAGAAAAAAATGAAGCACAGGGACATAGTAAATGTTGATATTTCTCTAAGGCTGTCTTGTAGTCTGACACGAAGTTGCTGTAGTTTGTGCCCTAAAGGAAAGGAATTCTGCTTTAAATTTTGTAGCAGAAGACACTTTACTTAGGTAAAAGTAAAACATTCAGTACTCCGTTGTCATTTAAGAAATCCAGAATACTCTCTTTCTAGATGAAGATTATTAAATAGACATATTTTCTAGCTGTAGATTTTGTTTGTGAAACTCTTAGCACACAACAAAGTTATATGTTTATATGAGAACCCAATTTATTTACGTGAATTCATTAAGTGACTATAGGTGCCAAAATTGGTTTAAGCCATTAAGTCTCAGTAGGCCTTATGAATGTGACTTGAATTCATAGAAATAAAGGGAAAGGATCGAGCGGGGGATCCTTTTTTGTGAATATGTGTAAGGGTGGTATTTTTTGTTCTGTTACTTTGCAGCTGTGACTGCTCTGCTTCTGTCACCCATTCATCATCATTGCCAGCGCCATCCCAACTGACTTGTTCCTTGGCCTCAGCCTTTGGTTAACACACCCTCATATTTTCAACCTTCATCTTTCTATTCACACATGTCAGTGATGATGAGGGGGTGACAGAAGAAAGAGTCAAAGCCACAAAGGGCTATGCTAAAATGTATAAAGATCCAATTTCAGGGAAAAATGTCACACTTCTGTGAATGCCAGTAGCTAGCGAGAGAACACAGTTGGAAGGTAGGCTAGGGTTTCCTCCCCTAGCTACTAATACCATGTATCTAGAGGAGGGAAGGGATCAAGAGATCAAACCCCTTAATGTGAATGTGTAAATTGTTTGCACCCTTAGGTTTGTGTCTTATTTATACTGATTGCTTAGAATGGGTAGTATATAGCCTATTGTACAATACAATACAGCGCTGTACAATAAATGAATACAAATAATTAGCTAACATCTGTATCATTTCAACAATATTGAAAGACAGATTCTTAATCCCTTCCAATAATCCAATTTGTCATCTAATGACTGGTTAGATATCACAAGATTTCAACTCTAGTCCATGAAAAATTATCTCACATGGGTATGCTTCTTTGACACTTTTGGTTTCCTTCAAATTTGGGGATCATTGCGGTATCAGGTTTTAGGGCTTGTGGGTTGGGATCACCCTTTTTCTACCTCTTACGGTCTTACCCCTGCCTTGATCACTCTTTATGATGTTCAGCTAATGGCTATTTTGGAGAAGTTTCTTTGTTGGATAAGCAGAAAGATTGATGAGCTTTGCTAAGTGAGTTAGCTTGTCTTGGTTGTCTACCTCTTGTACTTATTGTTATTGTTTAAGAGGCTGTCATACCTTTTCTATTCTTGTAGTTGTTTTGCTGTAACCTCTAGTAAATTTTCTTCTTTCATCCTGCATATAGTATGAAATACGAATGAGTTATATATGTCAAATGTTGCACAATTATCTATCTATGCTGTTGGTTTAGAATTGCTAGGTTCTGCATTGAATTTTTGTATCTTAACCTTTTGCTCTATTGGATGAGAAGGATCATGGGATCTTCCGTGATGGTAGCAAGGAAGTATCCGAAGCTCAACATACGATGTATAGGAGAACATTGTTGCAAGATCTTAACCGACAAGGTGCAGTTGTTCTTGAAGGGAAAACTTTAGGTAATTTTCCCTCTTCAGTTTGATGTTTCTCTGTGTATATATTAGAGATAATTTTGTTTTATAATTTCATTCTTAGATTTTGTTCTCATATTATATTGGCTATGTTTTATGTCTTATATCTTCCTTTATCATATAATACATTGCTTATACCTTTTTTTGTCATAAATGTATCTGTAGGCAGACAAAAAAAATCCTTAAATATAAATTCATAAAGATTGACAAGTATTGCATATCATAATTAAATTATTACCTGATGGTTAATTTGCTTTACTACTATAGCCATTTTGAAGTTAGTTTTTAATTATTTTTCCTTGGAATGGAGTAGTTCAAATGCAAAGTGAAGAGATTAAATTTATCACATACACGTGCTGACTCATTTATAGCATTGGTGCTCCATCTGCTTGTATTATCAATTTATAGAATATATTAGAAGGGCATAAATTATCGCCAGTGTTTTAGACTCATGCACTTCCCTGCTCTGTGCTTCTCTTAAAAAATGTTCTATGGTTCCCAGCAAGATCATTTAGTGATTGTGAAGAATCATGGTGTGAGCTGGAAAAGCTCAGCTTCAAGTGTCTTAAACTCGTCTTCTGTTTCTTTCTGTTGAGAAATTTTATTGGCATTTAGTTACATGACTAAGATGCATTTTAAAAGCATTTGCCTAACATCATTTTAGTCCCAAAATCAAATATGTATAGAATGCATTGAAATCTGGATAGGTGCAACTTATTTAAGTTCAAATGGTCTATTCTGATGAGTGAGATTTCAAAATATAAACGTAGATATGGAGATGGAACACCCAACAACAGTAGCAGAAATTCTTGCTCGGAGAAAACAGGGTTAGTGTGCTAGCTTTTTTCTTGTCCTTTCCCTTCCATTCATGTGGAGCAAGCTCTTATTTCAGACCACTATACAGAATCTGACGGGGCTATAGAGGAGGAGAGACAAAAGAGAATTTCTAAATTGACCCAGATTGAGGATCTTCAGGCACAAAATGATCATCCTTTTGCACCACTCTGTATCAAGGTCCAACTTTGTCTCAAGATTTTAGTGACCGATGATTAGTATATTACTCATATTTCTAGTGAATAACTGAAGTTATAAAATTTATACATTAATTAAATGATTTTCTTTTTGGATCAAATATTTATTAAGTGTGATGACTTCTATGTTTGTTTCTTGATCAGGATCCTCGTGACTATTTTGATTCTCAACAAGTTAATGCAGCAAAAACTCTGGATGATTCCCAAGCTGGAATGGAGCAAATAAGATGCAGTTTGGGTTCTGAGGAAGCCTATGGTTCTTTGAGGGCATCCATATCTAATATTAAAGCTATGGGATTGAGGGATCCTCTATTTAGTCCTGAGGTTGCTCTTAAGGTGATGACATATTTGTATCACATAATTCTATCATTCAAAATTGAAATAAAAATAAAACTTTGAATAATGGACAAAAGTATATGGTTAAATGCTCAATATTTTTCTAAGGCAGCATATTTTCCTGTTTTGTTTCTTTCCTATTAAAAGAAGTTCTCTCCTATTGAAAATGAAAGTCGTTTATTGTTTTCCAGGTCCTTAATGGATTGACCAAAAATATCTCAAGCACCAAATATCATCTTGGGAAAAATTCTCAGGAGAGTGTCCTTGATATATTGCCCAACACAACTAAGGAGAATCTACTAGATGTGAGTCAACCCCTGATTGATTCTGAGGTCTTTGAGAAGGAAAAGAGGAAAATGAAAAAGAATTGATGGAAAGAAAAGAAAAAGAGAGCAGGGATAATATTGTGAACTTCTATTTATATGCTCAGAGTGTGGCATATGTTGCTTTTATTTGCAAATAGCAGTTTAGCTTTCAATAACATTTGCATTGTTTTTCTGGGTTCTAAATGTTCTTAGTGTTGTAATACATGCTTCCTTGATCCTTCTTTATAGCATTGGGTGTGCAGTCAAGAATTGCTGAGGCACTTTTGGTCTTCATATCCAATTACAACACAGAACCTTGTTAATAAGGTAACTGTTGTGCTTCTGTGATTTCAGTAAGATCTTTCAATGCTGATTGCTGTGCATGACCTGTATAATAATGCACCACAATAATTTCATTAGTCTTGAGATCAATTATTTTTGGAGCTCATCATATATCATTTGTTTTATCATGGATTTTGTCTTCACTTTTTTTTCCCTTCAGCGCTCCTCTCTCTGTCCCCATTTCATTTTAATGAGTTGTGTATGGCATGATAATATGATTTTATGGTTTCATAGTAGATTAAGTCTCTTGCTTCATACTGTCTAGTGTCTACGTTGTGAGAATTTTCTATTTGCTTGCATGATCATTCAATCAGTAAACCAATTTTGTCAAAATTTTGCTTGATTATATAAACCAATGTGCTGGGTTTAATCAGGATTTGTGGGTTTAATATGGGAAGAGATAATAATAAAGGGTTTGATATTATGTCATGTACATTTGATGAACTTTAGGCTAAGTTATTGTTAGTGAACCATTTATCCCATTGGACATAACTTTTAAATCAAAAGGGCAAACCCTTGTGCACAAGGCTCCCTGACTTCGCAATGATAAGGGTAAGGGTTGATTGTACATAGTCTTACCTTTACATTTTTGCAAAAAAGTTGTTTTCAGACTTGAACCTATGACATTTCAATTATAAAGGAACAACCTTTCCAGGGCTCGCCCTCACTTAGTGTCCAATAATTCTTTTTACAACCGACATATCCCATCACATGAAAGCCCATTGATTTTTAGATGTTAGTAACTATTCAACTACTATCTGTAAGGATCAAATCCTATTTTATTTGATCAAAGGGTCAAAGGGGCTTTGATATCATGTCAAAGGAGCCACTGAACTGAGCGGTTAAGCAGGGGCCTAAGATTGATGTTTTATAATCAAAACAATAATATAAGTAGTATACGTCAAATGAGTTCTTTATATTCGTTCGTTGATGCCTAAGTGGGTTTAAAGGACTGCGGACTGTGTACTGGGTCCAATGTTTACCTGAACCTTCCTTTTCTTTTCCCTTCTATCAAAGCTTATCAATGGCAAAGGTGACTAACCAGCTAGGCATTGGACAAGATGAGAGCGGTTTTCCTGTTATGTCATTGGTGACAATGAGGATCTTACATGCATTATATTGTAGATATGTTTATGGAGTGATTCATCAAGAAATCTTTCTGAATTGCATTTTCTTATATCTGATGTCTTGTTCATTTGGAAATTAAATGCAGACCAGAAGACTGAAAGATGCCATATCACAAATATATTCTAAACTTGAGGTGTGTATTTAGCCAAACCCTCTGCTAATATTCCCGACTGCACTTATGTCTTTGCCTTATTCTGTCATCATGGATACCTGCATTAGTTTTATTTGTAATAGCTACTAAAGTGTTTCTATTTTTATTTGTTGATTACTAGGAAATAAAGGTATCTGCTCAGTCGGAACTGCGGCACCAGGTTTCCCTTGTTGTCCATCCCATGCAGCAGGTAGGCACACCATACTTGTTTGACCATATTTCATTTCTTTGTATGTGATATTCCTAAATTGCTGTATATCCTGCTTCATAAATAGAGGAAGTAAAATGGAGACATGGAATGATATTTTATGGAAACTAATATTATTTTAAAGGGAAAAATGTTTGTCCTTTCAAAGTACAGTCATTTTAGTTAAAACTACTATTTTTTGTTTAATATTTAAACTAAAAAAAAATCTTACTTTCTCCCACCATAATTTTTATTTCTCTCGCTATAAGACACAATAGTTTTACTAAAATGACACAATTATATGTTCTTTAAAAGGACAAACACTAATCCCTATTTTAAACTCTAAAAAAAAATAAAAAAATAACACGCGGGTACTAAAGGAAACTATGATCACTTAATAGTATAAATGGGCTGTCGAGATGAAGGAGTCATTGCTTTAAACATTCATTGACTCCTCATGCAGAATACTTTTTTGCCCTTTTCTTACAAAATCATTTGTTAGGTATTAACAAACACCAATAAAATATTTTTACTTCTTATTTTTTATTGATTATTACTCTCTTTTGGGTGTGTGACTTATCACTTTTGCTTGCTAATTTCTTTTTCCAAACTTATATTTTCACCTTTTAATAGTTTTTTCCTGTTTGAAACATGATATTTGTGTCCCATTTCATTTGTCACCATTACCTGGCTTTCTGCGTAATATGACTGATGAATTGTCTGCAGGGGAGACATAGCATTATGGTTGTTTCCGGCCTGTGGTTAATGTTCTTGTTCAATCCAATTTAGTGGATGAGCTATATTATATGCCTTTGTTATTTATTGTCTTTAATTTTTGTGATATCCTTAGCCTTTGTTGCAGGCTTTGGATGCTGCCTTATTACATTATGATGCTGACATTAGGAAAAGAAATGCAAGAGGACAGAAGCCTAACGGTTATGTTTAGGAGAATATTTTTGTCTCTGCGCACTTCAATTTAGAAATGTTTCAATTTTGACGTGACCTCAAAAAAGAAAAAGAAAAAAGTATGGCTATTCATCTCTATATCGTGATGAAATCAATTTCTATTAGAAATTTAGAATCAGTGAGGAAGAGCCTTGCTAAATAGTTAACTATCAACATGGAATTACGTGTCAACGCAGTCCCTAGGCAGTCCGAATGAAGTACATACACAAGTTTTGAGAATTCACATTCCAGCCTTTTCTTCCCTGTACTATATCTTCCTACTTCTTGTCTGTAGCAGTATACAACAATGGTTAACATGATTACTTTGTCCTTTCATACACAATAAATTAGGGGCTCCGAAATTCGGCCATCTATAAAATTTTATTTGTTGAGTGGTTAGTCGCCAAACATCGTGCTACATACAATGATGCATTCAAGTAAAAAAAAGCTTCACACATAAAAAATACATTGATATATTAATCTTTCGCTAAAAAAATCTTAAGTAAACGAATACACATTTCAAATTTCTTACGTATTATTGAAATTTGAGTGAAGTGTTTATGTAGAGACTAGAGAAGTGTTTCTGTGGGAAAGTACTTATCCATGTACCACTCCCTATATAAGACATTTTCACCTCTAATGTAAAAACGAAAAATAAAACAAATTTATTTTTTAAAAAAAATAATAAAATGAAGGATGGAGAAACACACATTTATTATTAAGTGATGCAAACACTTACGACACTGAGTCCCAAGTAGAAGCTTACAATATTCGTCTTACGAATTTTTAAAGGATTATTTATCGCTTTATCATTTTTTTTTGCCACTAGAAATAAAATTATATCTAGTAATTTCAAAATTATATCGTTTTGAGGATTGAGAGAATTAATGATAGGTGAAAAAAATAAAATTTCTAAAATATCATTTATTAATGTCTCAACCCTCAAAATAAGTGACGTAGTGTTGAGTTACATAAGATAATTTTATCTTTGAAAAATACTTTTCTCATTTGTAAACACAAAATCAAAAACTCTTCGGACTTTTCCAGAGGCAGATAGGATTATATTACACTATACAATGTGTAGAAATAATTCTAAATTTATTCTAAAAACTTACGCTAAGTTATATCTGGTGGTGAGGCAAAAGAAAAAAAAAGGCTTGTGCGCTTGGAAAGACATGCCCCCAAAGAACAAAGAGCAAGAATAAAGAAAGCAGCTTCATATGATGTTTGTTCGATCCGACTATTGTTTGGCAATAGATATTTTATTCCAGGGGCAACATCACTTTCTACACACATGAGTTATATATTTAATCTTTTTTTTTGGTAATAATATATTTAGTCTTAATTCTTAAGTAAGATCCACTTGTATTTAATAATTATATTAATTATTAATTAATAAATTAGAGTCTTTATATATAACATCAACATCAACTACACATTTATTCCAAATTAACTGGGGTCGATGGTAGATGAACCCAAATAAAAGATACGAAAAGGTTGAAAAAAGATAAAAAGATAAAAATAAAAAAATAAATAAAATAGTAATAATAATAATATATATATTTAAATATAAAAGTAATAAAAAAGGAGAATAAGAAGAGGGAGAAATAAAGAGAAAAAGGACTAAAAAAGAACCATCTGGAGCATATGAATAACAATGGGTCTAACCTTTTACCATGCTTACAGCTCTTCTCCATTCCGTTCTAAGGCACACCGTCCGCCAATCTATATCTCACTCTATTAAGTTTTGTTTTACTACCTTCCCCCCAAGTAAGTTTTGGTCTACCTCTACCTTTCTTTGTGTTGAACTCTTGGTAACAGACTTTTGTTCTTACGGGAGCATCAAGGACCTTCTCATTACGTGCCCAAACCACTTCAATCTATGTTCTCTCATCTTTTCAGCCACCGGTAGTACTCCCACCTCTCGTCGAATATCTTCATTTCTTATCTTATCCATCCTCGTATTACCACATATCCACGTTAACATCCTCATCTCTGCTACTCCCATTTTATGCCAATGTTACCTATGTGTTGGCCAACGTCAGCTCCATCTCTGCATCTTTAAATATAAGCAAATAAAAAATTAAAAGGATGCAAGATTTATTATTTATTTGAGAAATATAATATAAAAACTCTCATTTAAGAGTTTAAGCTTTTATGTTAAATTGTTACTTTATATGCTATCAATCAAGTTGTTACAAGTTTTATCCTCGTTGTCCTTATTTTATTTAAAAAATAATTAAATATGAGGCAGTTATTCTTGTATCGATATAAAAATGAGAAGTGTTACACTAAATCTTAATTATTGATTCATTTATATTGAATGACTTACATATTTAATGGTAAGCAATATAAATTCTACCTATCATGCTAAGCTTTGTTGTAAATTACAATATACTTCAAATGTTGTTGGAGAATATTATGCAATAATTACCAAACATATTATTTTAAATAAAAATTAATTTAGCACTTACAAAATATATCAATTAATTTTAGAAATTTAATCTTTCACAAAATAAATTGTTCAATAATATACACATATTTCAAGTTTATTCGATATTATTGAAATTTGAGTGAAAGTTTTATGTAAGTACTTATCGATGAATCACTCCCTAGTTCTATATTTCTCTCTCACTTTGATGGATATTTGCACCTTCAATGTAAAAATGAACAATAAAACAAAATCTATTTTTAAAAAAAAATTAAAATGAAGGATGGACACACAAATATTTCTTAGAGTCTCACATCTTTTTTTTTTAAAAGCTAAAAATTACTTTTAAGCTAAAATTAAAAAAGTTAAAAATTATTTGATGATTATATAAATTTTTTTTTATGGTTTTGAATGATGAAAGATAAAATAATTATTATTAAAATGAATTATTAGGGTAAAAGATAAAATTTATAAATTCAAGTTTAGAATAAGAGTAAAACTGTAAAATAACTATGAAAAGTCAAAAAAATTAACATATATTTTAAAAAAAACTTCTCTGGATAGCTTTTGCTTTTTTCATAATAAAAAAAAAACTTTTTTATAATAAGAGTTTTTATAAAAATATAATAATAATTAAAGAACTTTGGATACCGAGTCACAAGCGGACGCTGATAATTTCCACAATCTTATGAATTTTTAAATACGGAAACTTAAAAACTCAAAATGGAAGATAGGATTATATTTTACACTATGCAATGTATAGAAATCAGAAAATCTTATTCTGAAAAGTGAAAACTTATGCTAGGCAAAAAAAAAAAAAAAATGCTTGTGGGAGGAAAGGTATGCCCCCATAGAACAGAGACGAAGAAAGAAGAAATCTTCAAATGATGTTTGTTCGATTTGACTATTACTTGTTCGCAATAGACATTTTATTTCAGGGGTTGTTGTTTGTTATTTTAAATGATATAAGTTATATCATTTTAGGAGACAGATAGACATAGAAAATAAAAATCATGGGAGAGAGAAAATATGTGGTTTTTTTTTTAATTTAAAATTTAAATAAAAAAATTTATTCTGTGTCTATTTCTCTCTTAAAATGACATAACTTTATGTCATTTTAAATGACAAACACTTTTTCCTTTATTTTATGGGTTCACTTTTTCTGCAGTTACTGCAGATAAATTATCTGCAGTAAGCCCAATACGACGCCGTTTTGAGGCAGAAATTATGGTGTTTTTGAAATTTTAATTTATTTTAAGGCTATAATATTCTTTATATTTATAATTTTTTAAGATTTCAATACTAAAGCGACATCGTTTTAAAAATAAATGCAGATAAATTATCTGCATTAACTATAGAAATATTTTTCTTTTCTTTTATTTTAGAAATTTGAGCTTGTTACAACATTCTGCCATCTTATAACATGTATTTATCAGATAGTATGATCTGTATTTACTAGTTACTATCAGTAAGACGAGTTAATTTTATCAGTTAGTTATCGTTGAGTTAGTTCCTATTTTTATTTTTTACGGTAAGGTAGTTCATAGTAGTTAGAATATAAATAGCTACTTTGTGTAAGATGGATTCAGATTCAGAATATTATTTTTCAATACAATGAGATCTGTTTTCTCTCTCTCCCTTGGATTCTTTGGATTTTGATAGAGCTTGTTGAACAAGCAAGATGACTCAATGGATGACTTTATAAAAACAGGGTAATGTTGGCTAAGGAAAACACAAGCAAGGATGGCAGAGGTGAAGCTACACGGGTTTTGGGAAAGTCCCTTTACTTGGAGGGTGGTGTGGACCCTAAAGCTGAAGGGTATACCATATGAGAACATAGATGAAGACCGCTACAACAAGAGTCCTCAACTTCTTCAATACAACCCAGTGCACAAGAAGACTCCAGTGCTAGTTCACGATGGAAAACCCATATGTGAGTCAATGATCATTGTTGAATACATTGATGAGATATGGCCACAGAATCCATTGCTTCCTGCTGATCCATATGAGAGAGCTCTTGACGGTTTTGGGTCAGATATGCTGATGACATGGTACATATTTATAAACTTAATCTTATGTATTTTTCTAGCCTTTCCATCATGATCATTAGCACATGCAGTTACACAATTCATGTTCAATTGTTCAGTCTACCTTGTTTTTTTTTCTTCTCATTACTTTCTATGCTGTAAAATTCCTATCATGATTCAAAGTGAAATTAATATTGGGGTGGTCAATTATTAAAGATGTATGCAGTTGGGGCACTCTTCAGTCCTACCAGTGAAGAGCGGGAGAAGGGCATAGAGAAGATCAGGGAGCATTTCAGAGTTGTTGAGGATCAGTGCTTTGATGATGAGAAGAAATTCTTTGGGGGAGACACTATTAACATTGTTGACATAGCTTTTGGATCCATTGTCAATTTTCTTGAGATTGGGGTATCTATCTTTGAAGTGAAGATCCTAGAAGCTGAGAAATTCCCTCGTTTTCATTCATGGTTTATTAATTTTAAGGATGTCCCAGTCATCTCAGAAAACATTCCTGACCATGAGAAGTCGGTAGCTTATCTCAAGGCTTTCAATGAAAAAAGGATGGCATCTTTAAGAAAAGGATAGTTTTAGTGAAGTGATATATAAATAAGGGATTCGCTTTTTGTCATGTCACGTGACAAGACCATTTTTTTACACACACAAATCAAGTGTGGGTCCTACGCTTAAAAAAAAAAGTCAAACCAAAATCAGGATACGGCGCCGTATCCTCAAGATACGTTGCCGGATCCTTGTTGCAGGAATGACATTCTTATATTTCCCATAAATAAGTGTTTAATGTTTTTACTTTTGTTACGTAAATTTTTGAGTAAATACCTTTTTGTTCCTTAGCAAATTTCACGATACCTGTTTTATTCCCTAGCAAATAGAAAGTCTAGTTGTGGTCCCTA